CTCTGATACACGAAGCAGAAAAGAGGATTATCTTTGCTCTTATTTCTGCCTACATTTTATACCTACAGCCAGAGTTTTGATCTTATACCATTCCCAAGTGGAAGTAAAACCTCAGAAGCAGCACCTCCTGCCCCTCCTTCTCCACTGACCTGGGTGTCTGCAGAGTTGCTCCTTTCGCATATTCTCACCCTTCTCTTGCCACACTTACATCTGCACAATAACTTTCTTTCTTTCTCCTTAGATATGTTATCACAGAGTCACTGCCACCATTCCTAACTGGCCCAGGCTTGGCCAGCAGCACGGCTGTCCTACAGCCATCTGGCATTGGCTCTGCCTGACACAGGGGAAGCTTCTGGCAGCTTCTCACAGAAGCCACAGCTTTAACCCCCTGCTACCAAAACCCAACCATGCAAACCCAACACACTAGTTCTTTTCATTTAGCAGTTCTAAAGTATAGAAAAAGAATAGGCAATAAGAAGGGTATTTACTTCAAGGTGTAAAGTAGGGAACTATTTCAACTCACATTTTTCCCTACCATGTCAATTAATGGTTTCATGCATTTTTGTCATGTGCAAGATGAAAAGCTAAGTGTACTGACTCTAGGAAAAGCTGAAAAACCCTTTGTCTTAGGTTGCAATGCAAGATGTAACCAAAAGTATTCCATCACCATCAGTTAAAACCAGGTAGAGCAGTGTTCTTTATCTCTTCCATGACCCATAACTCCAGGATTACATTGTTTTCTTCATTTCAACCCATAACAAATGTATTGAAATGAGGTTTCTTAACTGAGCCACTGTGCTTACAGATACTTCAGAAAAGGGATGCTGTCTTCAGCTGAAATGGTGGTGCTTTGTTCCCGAGATACAGATGACTCTCTTGTGCCAGAATGAGTGCAGCTGCAGAGTTTGAATAAATCAGCAGGTTTACTACAATGTTTTGCTCGAGAGGAAATATTTTTGCTTAAACCACAGCATAATGTAGGTTGCTCATGCTAGGACATTTTAAAGAATGTCAGTGCCCATGTACCACAAGATGTTTCAGTAGCTAAACCCATGGTTTATCAAAAGTTTTTTTTCCCTCAGAGATGAGTAGCTGCTGCTTGGTTTGTCCCACAGGGAGGTTTGTTTGGGCCTAAATGCATTGTGGTAATTTAGAGTTGTGTCCTCCCCTATGCAGTAGTGCCATATTTTGTGTTGCAAGGTGGATGTGAGTTCACCAGGAAAGCATATGTTTTCAGGAAATTCTAAACTCTCTATGCAGGTACTCCTGTGGTCATGATGAGTTTTGGTAGTGTTTTAAAGGGGTGTTCCTATCAACCTCTAAATTTTGGAGAGAGTGAAACTTCAGTTTTGAATTAGTGTCTAAACTGTTGCTTTTCAGTCTCACCTCTTCAGACATCAGTTTAATGTCTGGGGCTCTTTGCGATACACATACAAGCTGGGACACCTAGAGCTGTCCTCAGCCTGCAATGGGAGCTGGGAGACTTCCTTCTGCTCCAAAAGCTGAGGTAGCGTGCTGCCTTCCATGGCTCAAGAGTGACCATCAGGAGGATGATGTTCAGCACATTTCTGGCTGAAAAAATTCAACCTAGAATTTTTTCTCTAATTCAGCTTGCTTTGGAGCATCAGGCTGCCTGTCAGAGCAAACTTGTGATTTGTGTCTAAGCCCAGAGGTAGCCTTTGTGTAGAGCTCAAATTCTGCAATTGGCCTTTCAAAGGCATGTTCCAGGCTGGAAATTATCCCAATGAGAAAGAGCTGTGTATAAAATAGCTTTATGATACCTGAAATTATAAACTATCTTTGTCCTTAACCCTGCCAGATACTGATGGGCAAAATACTAATGAGCTTGTAAGCATTGTGCTGGAAAAGGGGTAACCTGCTGCATATTAGATCACATTAAGTAATACCAGATTTCTAGGTGCAGAAAGTTTCTCTTCAGGGGCTGGGAGGTGGTTGGCAGAACTCCCTGTGTAAGTGCATTAAAAAAATTATATTCAGAAAACCCTAGAACTGTAACATGCAAATGAGGATTTCCCATCTCTGGAAAATGTGGCTAATATTCTTCATTATCTCATGAGCTAGAATTGTGAAATCTCCTAATGTATTTCCTATCTTCTGTGTGTACAGCAGGGTGGAAGAAAATATGAATGAGTGTGTTGGTTTCGGGTGGTAGGGGATTTTTAGAGAGAGGAAGGAGGAGGCAGTAGGTGGGTGAGAAAAAATGAGGTGGAGAGAAACAAGTTGCATCTAAATGAAGAGCTGTGTGCTCTCAGCTGTTGTTACTCGTGCTGTTAAGAGCAGTTAGTCTAAGGAGAGAAGTCTGACTCTGAACAGTTAGTGTGCTGCTTGACCCTATCACAAGATAATATTCAGTAGCAAATGCTGTGAAGAAAGGCAATGTAACAGCTTCTGTGGGGAAAAATTGGCAGGAAGGCAAGTAGCAGACTGTGAGACATTTCTTACAAACTGTGCTTAGAAACCAATCTGTTCTTCTTTATTGTTCTCTGATGGAGGGATGGATTATAAATGGTACAGACGGCCTTAGGTCTGTGATAGTACAGTATCTGCAGCTTTTCCAGTTGAAGGCTGAAAACTCTTAATGGTTTTTATGCAAAAAAGGGTAAGAATCCATTAAAAATTCTGAAAATGTACATGTAAAAACCTTAGGCTCAAGAGCAAATTATTATTTTATGCAGGAGAAGAAGGATTGAAAGAACAAAATTCTAAATATGTTTTTACACTTCTTACCTACATTGCTTATAGTTTGGCTAAGATAAATATCTAACTTTGGAAGTTTTAATATGAGAGAGATCTCTCTTATGTCATCTCTACTTCAGTCTGTCCTATTTATATTTTTGATGATGTCTATAAAATAGCATATGGGTGTCTAGAAGCATAAAAAGTTAAATGTGTTATGTGAGTGGTGCACAAGCTCAGTGCACCAATGAATGGTCCATAACACTGAGTTAAAGCTCTGTTAATAGCCCAGACTCATTCCCACGGAGTCCGATGCTGGAACAGAGTAGGCGGGAGCGGGCTTGGCTGCTGTGCCGTGTGCCTCGGTCTCTCCGCACGGGCAGAGGCTTGGTGCCGGCTCCCGGCATGGCACGGCTGGAATTCCCTGCCCTGGAACCCCCGGGCCGGCCCAGCCCTGCCCAGAGGGATGTCCGGGAAGAGCCCGGATCCAGCCACCGAACGGTTTGGTTCCTTCTGCTCATCTTTCTCTTTAAAAGAACGTCCTGGCTCACCGTGGCTTACATCAAATGTGAGGCAAAGGATCCGCGAAGGTGACGGAAGCAGGCGGAGACGCGATGCGATTTTTGGGTGATCGGTAGGCTGGGTGACAGGGCCATCTGCTGGCACAGGGACTGCGACGGCATCCCGGGAGCTCTGCTGGGAACGGCTCTCCTGGGAGGGGTTGTGGCTCCATTCTAACCTCCAACACCCGTCACTCCTCTGAAATTTTCCTTGTAAGCGGCTTCGTATCTTGTATTGCCTTCTGATTTGGTAGCAGAGCTTTTTACTGTAAAGAAAGACAGCTCTCTAACTATGAATTTAAGCTTCATTAAAAGTTAAAAGGGATGTTTGATCTGGGAATAGTATTGCCTTAGATCACGCCAAAACTTAAAAACTATGTTCTGAGGAAGTGTGAGTTTGTAGTAGAATCTCTCAGATCAACGAGAAATTAATGTGAATGCTCGGCATTCATACAAAATATATACATTAGGGATATTTTGTTTAAAAATACAAATCAGACATAAAGAAGACAGATGGTCTGTCATACTAACACTGTTAAATTTCTTGTGTCTTCAATACTGAAAAGGCTTTGGGAGGTGCTTTAGTTTACTTTTGCAAGCACTGTGCAATCAATGCAGCATCTCAAATGTAACAAATGTGTCTGATATACATGTGTGCTCATGTTTACCTGTCTGTATGTTTAATTAAAGTACATCAGTCCACATTGCTTGACCTGTGTGTATTGCTGGTGTAACAGGTCACGCGGTTGTCTCAAGCCTGTGGCAGAGCGAGGCTGTCCTGGTTCCAGTAGTGTTTATAGCAACTCTCTTGAAGCAGTACTCCTCATCACCCTTGTGGTTACAGTAAGAGATGTTATGCAGTAGCTCCTTGCTGACAGAATGACAATTTATTGTAGACTAAAATTATCCCCTGAGAATGCACTTCTCTGGCTGTATCCAAAAATCTTTCATCTTGTGTCCATAGTATTTGTTATCTCTAGCATCACATACCTTCATCCCACAGAGAATGCAAGTTATTACATACTGCCAAGGGGCTATTCTGACCTTTTTGACTTCTAAACAGTTTTCTAGTTTTTTACTCCTTTGACAGTTCTTCAAATTAAATGACAGAGATGGATTCCATTACAGGAGCTTTGACCAAAATTATTTATTGCTTACCTAGTAAACCTGGCCATAGATGTAATTGATTTATAAATCCCCCAAAAGCACAAACATTAGCCAGTGACTGCTTGTAGTGCTGCTGTGTAGAAATTATGTGTATGGAGGGATGACTTTTCTTCTGGCCAAAAGACTGTGCAAGAGTAAAACAGCAATATTTTATGACCTCTGTGGATCAGGACTATTCTGGACCAATTTCTTTCCTGGTAGCTCATTCTATATTTTCACTTTCTCTTTTAGTGACTGTTTTCTGTTTTCTGTTCTAAAAGGATGGCAGAATGGACTGCAGTATATCATGAAGGATGGATTGGACTGCGGAGAGGAGGAAGCAATCTCTCCTCGTCTGAGAAACTTGGAAGAAAATGTCTGTGGTACTAGGAAGATAACCTGACAACATGAGTAATATAGACAGAGCCGTTGAAGTTCTGACCATCAGGGTGAGATGGAAGGCCAGGTAAGGTATTGTTTCATATTCACGTTTTTCTCCTGAAACTCTTTTGGCTAAATGTAAGTGTGGTCCAGTAACTAATTTTTTTTTTTTTGGTCAAGTTCACCTGTGAAAAATTGTACTGTATAAGGGAAATGGCATTTTACCTGCAAAGTCCAGTTTTACTCCTGATTCACTGTGCTGAGTACTGGTCTCCAACTTGTCTAGACCTGTTAAAGTTCTTGTTTGCACAGATATATTGGGCTACTGCAAATATTAAATGTGTTTTCTGACCTTGGTGCAACTGCCTCTCTTCCATGTGGCAACACTTTGCTAATGAAAACCTTGTTTTATCAGCATGGGAGTGGCCGTGGGTATTGGTTTTTTTTCTGTGTGACATTGGATGTGTGATGTACAGTGTTACTATTCCTATTAAAGTACTGAGTCAGATCACTTTCTTGTGAAGGTCCACAAGTTCCATAGAACTGGTTCTGAGAGGGATATTGCAGAGCATAAGTGCAATAAAACAAAGCCCACCAAAGAACTGTAAAAGGATTTGTCATAAATGGGACGAAATCTTGTATTTGTAGTCCAATTGCAATGGAATACACTTTTTGCACTGATACCCAATCTGTCGGTTTTCTGTCTCAGCCCTGGCTGGGGAGCAGCAGCGCTCGGGTTACTCGGGGAGGGAGGGCTCGGCAGGGACAGAGCCCACGGTGGCTGCAGGGCTCCGACAGCTGCGAGGGACAACGAGCTGCTTCCAGAACCGCACCCGTGTGCCCGCACCTGGATGCTGCTGGAAGGATTTACTTCCTTGGGTAGTTTTGGACACTTCTGTGCCTTTGGGTGAACAGTTTTGTTTAAGGTCCAGAAACGAAGATGAGGAGCCTCTCCTCCTTTTACGTCTCTCTGTGGTTGCTGTGCACAGCAGTGATACTCAAAGGTGAGAATACAGCTTGCTAGGTAAATGTTGCACTAAAGTTTATCTCATTCACATAGGATCTTGTGACCTGATCTACCCTACGTGGCTGAGCCCCAGAAGTGTTTGATCTGTTTAGTTTAACCCTGTGTTTGATGCATAGGCAAAACGATCATGTAAGACCAGAATTGCAGGGATCTTCGGGAAGTTTTGATTTGTTGGGATGTCTTTTTAGTCAGGAACATTTTCTTTGAACTCCTAATTAGCCTGGGAAGTAGGTGTGAATCACCAGAGAAGTACTCCAAGCCCTTGTCCACTGCGAACCGCCGCCTGGCATTTGCCGGAGCCTTGCAGGAGCGCTGAAGCGATAACGACCTGCACAATTGGCCATTTGCAGGAGCAGCGGGTGCTCCGGCCAGGCCGGACTGCCCCCAGAACAGAGGGCAGGAAGGTGGGCACAAAGCGGGTGAGCCCCCATCACCGGAGATCAGCGGGACAAATTAACCCTTGTTTGGCAACAAGCTGGGCTTTGAACCAGATAAGAGAGAACACCGATAAAAAGCAGGTCCTGTGAGACGGGATAATACTTCTTATCACGTACGGTGATATCGCTCCTCTCCATTATCTACTCTCGTCCTTTCTTTCTTTTTCTTTCTTCTGTATTTTCTTAAGTGTAATCTCTATGTTTTCATATTGTTTCATTTCTATAGCTAATAACTGGTACGACTATGTACCTCTTTCCCATTGCTGGAATTGAGGAAACTTTTAAAATTTTTTTGGTGACTTTAGTCAGGGCTTTGCTCGCCTTTGCCCGGGGGAGGGGAATTGAAGTTAGTCTTCAAAAGACTGTTCACCGGGTAAGGTCTGATGGGGTTAACAGCCGGGGAGTAGCCAGAAGGTACCCGGGAAATAAAGGAACATTAACGGGCGTTACTGCCCCGGAGACACCTGGTCTGGGAAAAGGTTGATAAGAGAACCAAGGAATGAGAGCCGAATTAGTATCGGAGGTGAAGGGATCAATAACTAATCAAAGATTGAACTCTAAGGACGGTGTAATTTAAAACGAGTGAACGTGAATTTCTTTGGGGTTTTTATGTGTAAATAAGTGAAAAGTCTGGTAAAGAACCAGACTTTTCCACGTAGCATGGAATGATTTTCACTGCACAGCCCGGGCATGTGTGGATGAAATAATTTCCATTGCATGTCCTGCTCAGAATAACATCCTGCCCAGAATAAAGGATGTTATTCTGAGCAAGACATGATAATAATAATAATAATAAATAAATAACGTCTAATTCTCCAGCATGGAAAAGACTGAGTTGGAGAGTTTCTGTTTTCCCTGTAGTTTCAGTGGCAGCGTTGCATCAAATTGCTCTAAAATAAGCCTGCCATACATAAATATGTGCATTAATACACAACCAGTGGTTCAGTGTTGTTTCACTCTTGCCCATCCCAAGGGATCTATTATGAAGAACCTCAGTTACCCCACCTTCAGGGGTGGCTTGTAACAGAGTGGTTCTGTTGTCCTTGCCCTTTGCTTGCAGAAATTTGTGTATCTATGTAAAGAGGCTACCTAGAGAAACTGTGATGTACAAAACAGTATGAAACAGCAAAAGCATAATTTCAAACCTCAAGTTTCAGTCAATTATCTTTAGTATCTAAGTTTGAATAGCAAGCAGCATCTCCAAATACATGGTTTGGAAAAGATGTTGGTGCACAGATGTATTCACACATTAAGCAATTGCCAACTTGTGAAGAAAAGCAGCTCAGACATTTTACAGGTGGTAGTTTAAAAAGAAAAAGACTAAATTCTGGAATTAGCAGGAATCTTATCAGTTCTTCATTTGGGGACATACCAAAAGCCATTAGCCTGCAAGTAAGTGTAATTTCAGACCTTGCTGACTGTAAGTCAGTAATATCTGCCTGGGAGAGAAATTTGTAAAATAAAAGTAATTATATTTACTTTCAAAAATGTAAGGAATGCTGTATACACTATCTTTCAGTGGGTGTGAAAAGCTCAAGTTAGCTATTCACTTGCTCCAGCTGAGCGCTGTTTTTATTTGAATAACTCAATCAGGTATTCTTCTGTATCTAAACTAATGATATTCTACCATATATGAATGATAAATATTGTTAGAGCAAATACTGCTTGAAGCAGGAGAAAGAAGGTATATTCTGATGCTGCTCAGTGCTTAATCTCATGTACTGAACAAGTCCATGTTTTATAGCCGTAGAATCAGCCAAAGGGAAATATGCTCACATGCTGTTTAATGAACTGTTTGAAGACTACTCCAATGCTCTGAGACCAGTGGAAGACACAGATAAAGTACTGAATGTCACCCTTCAGATCACGTTGTCCCAAATTAAAGACATGGTGAGTGAAAGTAGAGTTCTGTTTTTCTAAAAATACGCAGGACTATACTAGCTGTAAGCCTTTTGTTTGGAGTAGGAAAAGCATCCTTCAGTTTGTTGTGACAACTTCAGGAATGCTGCCTCAGGGGCAGGGGACAGGGGGTGGCCTGAGGGCTTGGGGGTGTGTTGTGTTCTCCAGATTTTGTACATTCTTCTCTGGTTGCATCACTTAAGGCTTCCATTATAAGTCTGGAAACCTGGAGCTACTGAATTTTTAAGACTTCTTTTGTAGTTAGGTGTTGGTATCACACCCTCCAGGCAACTTTTGCTGAATTTTAAATACAGCAAATGCTTTTTCTAAGCTGCATAAAATCTCTAAAATTAGCCATCAGAAATTTTTATAAATATGGGGGTTTTTTTAAGATACACTTTTAAGGCAAAAGAAAATGTGTCTGGAAGGAGAAGGAAAGATTATTTTTGTGACTTCTGAATTATAATTTCAAGGCCTCGCCAAGCTCTCAAAGAATTTCTGAGCCTGGATCTGTTAGCTATTTGCTATTCTGAAGCTTGCAAAAAGAAATTAGGATGAACTGGGAGGATTAGATACTGTGATTAAAACTAGGGAGGGTGCTGAGAGGTGAAGGTTTGCACAAGTGGAAGTCCAGACCAGTGATTTTCCTGTACAGTGTATGGGCCTAGATGCCTGTCTGAGAATTATTTTGTGTCCTGTTAGTATTCTGGCCTGTTTTGAGCACTACATCACAAATGCTGTCTGTGTCTAAGATGTGATTTTGTCACCTTCAGCTAGAAATATCTCTACATTTTTATGCAGGATGAAAGAAACCAAATTTTGTCAGCTTACTTGTGGATTCGACAGAGCTGGTATGATGCATACCTCAGATGGGACAAGGATAAATACGACGGGTTGGATTCCATCAGGATTCCAAGCAATTTGGTTTGGAGACCGGATATTGTCCTATATAACAAGTGAGTGTGGCTGGAGAAAATCAGCTTGCATATTTGAGGGAGGGAGGGGGTTGAAGGAGGAACTGGCCTACAGAGTCTGAACTTTCATCTCTACCTTACCTTAGCAAGGGGTATGTTTGTTGTCTTAACATTTGTTGTTGATAATCTAAATATTTTGCAATAAAGCTATAGACAAGATCTGAAAATTATGCTACACAGCAAAGCTTTTCTGAATTTCTCTACACTGGGAATTGAATACCCTGGCTGTCTGAGGTTCTTTCTGCTGAGGCTCCTGAGAACTCTGGAAGATTGCCCACAAAAAGATGATACATAAAGGCTGCACTCCCTGTCTGCTCTCCCAGGCCAATACTGACCTGCAGACTGTTTTCATCCTTTAATGGACTCTTATCCTACTGCCTTCTGTTTGAGGTCAAGTTTGAAGGAACTATGGCCAGCAAATGCAACATAACTCAGCAGCACTGATGTTTGGCATTCATGGGCATTGTAAATGATGGTTATTAGTAAGTTCCTACTAAAATGCAGTGTAAATATGATTTCAGGAACATGCTTTTAATGGTGTGAAAGGAGGGTCTTCTCCATTGCCTACCTTCTCTGGCTCTCACCCTTAGGTTTTTGTCTGTCAATCCTGATTGCCATTTTTCTGTCTTTTAGGGCTGATGATGACTTTTCAGAACCAGTAAATACTAATGTAGTGCTGAGATATGATGGAAAAATTACTTGGGATGCACCTGCTATCACAAAGAGCTCTTGTGTGGTGGATGTGTCATATTTTCCTTTTGACAGCCAGCAGTGCAACCTTACCTTTGGGTCCTGGACCTATAATGGTAATCAGGTAGACCTCATCAATTCTCTTGATAGTGGTGACCTCTCTGACTTCATAGAAGATGTGGAATGGGAGATTCATGGTATGCCAGCAGTTAAGAATGTCATCACTTATGGCTGCTGCTCTGAGCCTTATCCAGATGTGACCTTCACCCTGATTTTGAAAAGGAAGTCCTCTTTCTACATATTTAATCTGCTGCTTCCCTGCATTTTGATCTCTTTCCTGGCCCCGCTGGGATTCTATCTCCCTGCAGACTCTGGTGAGAAAGTGTCTCTGGGTGTTACAGTTCTTCTTGCTCTGACTGTGTTCCAGCTGATGGTTGCAGAGATCATGCCCCCATCTGAAAATGTACCTTTGATAGGTGAGCTTTACACACTTTGTCTTTAAGCATGACTTTATTAATAGCAGGGCTGTATGTCAGGGAATCTTCATGTAATTTGTGATTTCTGGGAAGATAAATTTGCTGCATTTTTGAAGCATAGTGAAGTACTTAAAATATGTGTGGAATCTGTATAGGTATGCTGCAGTTTTTAGAAGTTATTTTGTATTTATTTTAAATTATACATTAGCCAGCTGTTTTATATTTATTAAATATAGTTAAAGATTTCAAATGATGCTATCACATCTTGAAGTAAAGCTGGTAATTGAAAACAGTTTTAGAACTAACACATGAAGTATAACCAAAAGCTATAAGCACAAGGTCAGACTGTTTCAAGATATGTTTCTGTCAGATGCAGACGGTTGGATGGCCTGACCGGCACACACACCGTTGTCTTAATATCTGACAATTGCTACATTGGATTATAGTTCCTGGGAATTCATTATGCTGAAATTTAATTTTTGTCTGGGAGTTCAGGAAAGTTCATGTGCAGTGAAAGAAACCTAGCTCAGCCTGTTGTCTCTATTCCCGCGCTCTCCCTTGCCATCCATCCCAATCCCTTTGGAGCCGGGCTCACTCACACCTGTCTGTAGCACACTTGTCTGTGCTGCTGCTGTCAGCTCTGCTTGTCCTGCAGAGCTGCAGAGCAGGGCTGGGAGCTGCTTCTCCCTCAGCACAGGCCGGTTGGGTGCTCAGCTGTGTTGGGTTCAGCTGCCAAAGCAAGGGCAGAGGAGCACAGCTTGTGTTCCCTCCAGCGCTGTGCTCTGACCTGGCGCTGGCAGCACACTGGCTGTGGGTGCCAGCAAGGTCTGCCTGCTGACTGGATCTGCTGGTGTGGACTGCATCAATAGCTCAAACCAAGTGTCGTCATCGCTGTTGTTAATACCTGAGGAAATGGGATTTCCAAGGTGCTGTGTGAAGCCACTGGCATGGGGATTTTGCAGATACTATGAAAAGAGCAAGGCTCTTGAGAAACATTGAGTAATCAGAGGTCTTAGCTTGCAAATATTTACCATGCTAATGTGGTAGTCACACACTCATCTGCTAAAGACATGCCAGTAATGAGTATGAGATTTTATTTTAATGGCTTTTATCTTTGTTTTTAAATGGTGAATCCTGATCTAAGAGAATCAGGGTGATTAAAATTTTATTTCTCTTGCATTTATGCTTAGCACCTGTTATCACACTGTTGCTTCTCCTTGATTTTTTTTTTTTAATTAGAGTAATATCTTTAATATAATTTCATTTTGTGTTCTAGGGAAGTACTACATAGCAACGATGACCATGATCACAGCTTCCACTGCATTGACAATCATTATCATGAATCTCCATCATTGTGGCTCAGAAGCAAAGCCTGTTCCACAGTGGGCCAAGGTGGTTATTTTGGACTATATGTCAAAAATCTTTTTTGTTTATGATGTGGGTGAAAATTGCACAAGTCCGAAAAGAGAGAAAGAAGAAGAATGTAGGTTAGAGGGGGATGATGGGAGTCCGAGGAGGCACAAAGAGGTAAGGAGTCCTCTTTCCACTAGGAATGATGACTGCGATCTCAAGGAGAAACTCAGTGGAAATTGGAATAAAAGCTATGGAGTCCATGGTGAAAATGTTAATTGCTGTTCCTGTTACAAAATGCTGATTAAGAATATTGAGTATATTGCTAATTGTGTTAGAGACCATAAAGCAAACCGGGCCAAAGGAATTGAGTGGAAAAAAGTTGCAAAAGTGATGGACAGGTTTTTCATGTGGATTTTCTTTATCATGGTGTTTTTTATGAGTGTGCTGATCATTGGGAAAGCTGCTTAACTGAAAATGAATATGTTCTTTTTGTAAATCTGAATATTCCATGTTACTTTGTTTAGGAGGAGTTCAGTGATAGGGCTGCTTTTGAGATCTTTGTCTTGCATTTTGTAACAATAAACAGACTGATTCTGTAGGCTGTGACAGTGAGTTGAGACACAGCACAACTGAGGACTTTGCTGGTGGCTGTCCTTGCCTTTCAGTATGGGTGAGCTGAGGAGGCTGCAGGATCAGCGGTTGCTGCTCCACCTTGGTGGGACGTGGCTGTGCCTTCAGCCTCTCTGGGCCAGAATATTGCAGCAGTGGAGCAGACAGCCCAGCAGGGAGTTCTGTATTCACACGGTTGCACCTCTGCCCCTTGCAATTTGATCAGCCCTTTCTCTCTTCCAGGGGAAAAAAAAAAGTCCATTTGTGATATGGTGACATTTTCTGGAGATCATCCCTTCACAGCATTGCCTTTTTCCCTTTTATTTTAGTTTGACTTGAAAACTTATGGTTTTTGTTCCAGCTCACTGATCACTGTTCATTTCATAGGCTCTACATGCTGTGCCTTTAGTTTCTAATATCATTGAACTTACTAAATATGATCTTCCTTTTTATCATTTTCTGCTGCAGAATATTACTGGGTTGTTACCATGGCTCAAGTAAACCAGATTCCCAAGATTTCTTCCTCACTGAGACAAAGAGCTTCTTTTCAATTCTTACTCTTGAGCCTAATAATAGGAAGAACTTCTCCTGTCCTTCCTACATGTCTCATTGCCCCGGGCATTTGTTCAAGATGTGCATTTAAATGTTACTTGAGACTGCTAAAATAGGAGGCTGTGACTTCTGTCTTGTCTCACTGTATTTACCTGCCAGCGTTCACCCTTTGTGTCCCTTGTTCACTCTTACAAGCTCTTTAATGCTTAAATTTTAAACAGTTTGCAGGAATGCCAAGGTTACTCTGTGCATTACTTAGCACAAAATTATGATTTACAGACTCCTTAAAGTAGTGCCATAGTCAACGCTCCTTGCTCAGCACCTTAGTTCTTACATATATGGGGAAATGTTAGTTGCTGACAGCACCAAAAACCCCTGTTCTGTGTGTTAATTTCTGTTAACCCTCTCAGACTAATAGAGCTCTGGAGAGTGTCTCTTGTAGTAAAGTAAGAACCAGTACCACGGGCATGCCCATGGCAAATAAATTGCTTTTGCAAAGCACCCTGAACTTTGAAACCATGATATTCTAGATGCAGTGGGAGAGGTAGAATGGCATTGTAATGGATCCCAGTCAAAAGTTCATGTGATAAAACTAATTTTCATAATTGTCGCAGTTAATAGGAGCATACCTTCGAATCAGTAACTTAAGAGCAAGGAGCTAAACTGGAAAAGTGATGCAGTTGTTATGCCCAAATTTACTAGAAGAAAGGGAATTGTTCTTTTTATTTTGATGATATAAATGATGCATCGAATTGCTAATGGCAGGTTTTCTTTTGTGCTGAATAATTAGCACTGTAAACTTATCTGGATTCTCATACATAATGCAAGCCTAAAGTCCAGGTTTTAATGTAAAGCTAAACTGGGTGACTAGCCAAGAATAAACTCAGTATGTGGAAAAAGTCTCAAGTGTGTTCCTTGTGTATTATCAGTTCCAACTCAACCAGGGTAACTTTGAGTGGCTCCTTTAGAAGACAAGCTGTTCATTTTCATTCACTGTGCAGAAAAATGATTGCATCCCTTTGCCACATAGTTCAGGGTCTGGCACTTACACTGCCTGCTTGAGGAAACTGGTTTGCTCTTCCTTGTGGAAAAAATTATTGTCTGGAAAGTTGAGGGAGTAAGGTATTTAAAGATAAGGGTAAAATATTCAGAACAGGAGCCTTCAGCATGGAAAACTGATGACCAAGGGTTTATTTAAGGCTTGTGGGTGGCATAAAGAGCTACTGTTCACAGTCTCTTACAATATAGGAAAAGGGTACATGAAATGTACACAGTGTGTGGCAGTGGGAGAGTCTGTACAACATGTGATGAGGCTGAAGAACTCTTTGCAACAGGATGGGTGAATGCCAAAAGATTATATGGATTTCAAGACTTGAGGGAAAAAATAAAAGAAAAATCTACTGGCATACTTCTAAATACAGTCACCAAGCATTTAAAGGAGGAGCAATATTTTAGGGATTCATGACTACATGTTCTTCAATGCTCTTCATCCCTCTGGTGGCATCCACTGGAGGCAGCTTCCAGATTTAGACAGCTCCTTAGTCTGATTCAGAATATCTTTCTTAGAAATTCAGATTTGTCTGTGTCACTCTGTTCAAAACAAACTGCTGCAGTTGTGGGCTTTCCATGTGTAAAGGAAAGTTTGCAATCTTAGGTGGATTGTGGGCCTCTGTCCTGCTGGTGCTTTTCAGTATCCTGCATGCTTGGATGATGATGTTGAAACCATGCTTTGCAATTGCCTAATACTTTTTATGTGAAGATGTGATGGTATAAGAAATACTTTCCTTGCAAGAACATGATTTGAAAAATAGTTCTAATGATTCAGCTTATTAACTATTAAATTTGCTTTTAAATTTTTATCCTTTTCTTTGGATCACCAGACATTCTCGAGTGTTTCTTTCACCCTTTGTTTACATAAGGTGATTTTTCTTGATCTTGTAAGAAAGACTTTTCCATTTTTAGCTCATAAGAGCCCTGGATTTGATAAAGATTGTGAGTAGAAGATGATGAGTGCCAGTAGAAGCTGGTCCCTGAATTTTTGTGATGCTAGGACCCTTGAGCCATGTCCCTGGACTTGATCATCATTCAGGGTAAAAAACATGATGTGACACTGCTTGCCGTGACTCTGGTGACAGGGCTGACCCACGGCCCACGCTGCTGCCGTGCAAGGGCTGCCTGGTTTAAAGCTAGCTCAGGGGCTTCTGACTAAACTGTGGGGACAGTAGCTTAGGCCTTAATGCTTGCAGAAAACCAGAATCATTTAGATTGGAGAAGACCTCTGAGATCATCATGTAATGTCCAGTTATTTCTTGAACACCTCTAGAGATTGCGACTGCACCACTCCCTGGGCAGTTCATGCCTACCCTTTCCATGCAGAAATTCCATCAAGAAGAAACTAAATCAGCCTTGTGTGTGACTAGGCAGAACTGCACGTGGGAGCTGTAGTGCTGAGTGAGACAGGACTGTTAATTTAATTTTATCTGTCTTAGTCTCTTCCTCTTTCCTTTGTATGCCTTGTGCTCAGATCCAGTAATCTTTGAGGAAGATGAATTCCAGAAATTAATAACTATCATTCTAGTAACAGAAAATTAGCTATTTATGCACTGAGTAACTCTGTTTACCATGAAGGCAGCAGGGTGACTTTATATTTACTGAGGAGAACAATGATGCTGTAAAAATACTGTTTTAGGTCTGTGTGCTGCAGAGGCCTTCGAGGGATGAGCTGACAGATTCTTTTGCTGCACCATCTCTTGGCAGAGAGATCAACTCTCCTTTCTTGTACTGAGTCACCGCAGTGTTGAAATGAGGAAAAATAGGAACTGTCTCTTGTGATGCCTTCACTGCTCTTTTCACAAGCAGAATTACAGAGCTCAAGTGTAATGGGATGTTGGGGTGTTGAATTTGCAATGGTGCAGAAAGGCAGAAGATGGCCTTTCCTAACCTAGGAAATCTGTTTGTGTTCATGGAAATTGGAGCAAGAGGGTTCAGACTAAATCAAAAAGGATCATCCTGAACAATGAATTACATGCTGAGAATGAAGAGTATTTCCCATGTTTCAGGAATTCAGATGTCACATTCTAAGCATCTACATCTTTTGTCCACTGGTTAGCAAAGCTTGGTTCTCTGACACTGCCAGAATTATGATACGTGCCTCACAGTCATTTCTCAAGAAATGCAGGAATGTGCAATAATTCCTGATTGTGCACCAGTCCCAGTTTGAGAAGCTGACCACCTGAGTGTGATTCTTCTGGAGACAGGAAAAGGAGACTATGGGGTGAAAGGCAAGTCCTCTCATTCTGTTTACAGAAGTGTGAAGAATCCATCTTTTCTTACAAACTTCTGTTATTCATTGAAGAAAAGAATATATTGGCTCTTGTTTTCTTTCTTAACATGCTTTAATCAGTGGCAATATATAGGACCAAAGGTGACCTCTGTAGTTTGTGTGCTTTGTACCTGCAGGCAGTGTGAGTGACCTAGAGCTCAATTAAAGGCTGAACATCTATTTTCTCACTGTTCTCTGAAGTCTACTAAAAAGGAGAAATCTTTCTTCTTTGTTAGAGGCAAGTCCAACTCTGTGAAGAGACACAGAAGGTAGTGAAGGTGTTTGTATCTAGTTTGTGCTGTGCCAATTGGGGCTTCATTGTCTCCAGACACTTTTTAAGAACTCCATTTTACCTTTGCAGTAAGGAGTAACAGAGATAGCGAGTACCTAGCTCACTTTTGTTCTTATGTCTGTCTTTCTAAACACTTTTGTGCATTTGATTCCTAGTCTTCAGGCCACAGAGCACTGAAGATCTGCAAGGCCACCAGGAGGACACTGCAGCACCAAGGTGAGGGTCTCAGGTGGTACCTTCTGGTTCCCTGGGGTGAGGGATGGGTGCTGGTGGTGAGCTAAGTCATGCCTAAGTCACATCACCTGCTCTGTCTGCCATGGCAGTACTGGATCTCCTGTCAGGGGCACTTCTAGCCATTGCTGTTGAGAAGGCAACCCAGAGGCACCTTTCAGAGGTGAATTTCATCAGGATTGAATACAAATCTAACTGTAGAGGGTGGGGTGTAACCTTCTGGAGGGCATAGCAGGGTGGAAAATAGGGTCTGTGAAAAAGCTGGCATCTGGAACTGCTGTGGTCTCTTCTTTGGAATTCCTGCTTCAGAGTAGAAGTCCATCTACTGAACATCCAGGAAATGCAAATTGAGATTAAAAAAGGGCATCTGCAACTTCAAGTTGGGTTTCTATTCTACTTTCTGAAGACATTTATTTAAAAAGTGATCCACTACTACCTTTTAAGTAACCCACCCAGGATTATGGATTTTTCTGGGGAGCAGGTATTGTTGTTTTTACCTCTGCCATTATCATGTTCCGTGTCTTGGCATTCACACAGCTACACACAACAAATCTTTATCTCTATTTTAAAAGAACCTGAAACAGATTTGCATAGGTCATTATTTTTATTTATATCACCCTTCACTGAACAAGATTTTATAAATGGTGTTGAGAGTGCTGGAGAGACTGCACATCACAGTCTTTCCTACATTTCACTTTTATTTGAAGAAAACACTAGTTTTCTTCAAAAAGAAGTGAAATGATTAATTTCACTTGATTAATTTAAATGTGATGCCAGAGATGTCAAAAGAAGAGCGGAGCAAAAGATCATATGCTTTTAAAAATTATTTAAATTTAACCCAGATTATTGTAGGCAGAATGTTTCACTGAATAGAATTATTAAACTGGATTCACTGGGTATTTGCTTTCTATGTGTCTGTCATCACTAACAGACAACTTGATTAATAGCAGTCTTAAATGCTGTATAATCACATCATACTCTGGTTTTGTTTGCTTTTGAATTCTCAACTATCATGCTTAACAAGAAGTTATCAGGAAATTTTTTGAGGCAATATAATATGAACAGATAAAGAATGATAGCATCATTAATGCACACATCTGCATTCTTCTGTTGTTAGTGTGCCATGGATAAGTCATAGATCTGGCTCTTTTATTCATTCTTTTATTTTCAGTTCTAGCTGAGCACTACCAAGCTGCTCAGGACATTGCAGTGACAAGAGTGCCTTTTGTTAATGTTACATTGGAGCAAAAGCATAACCTAACGAGAAAGGTAATAGATGGTAAAGTCATCTGGAGCAGCCTCCAGTAGTTAGAAAAGACCTTTACAGAGAAAGCATTTGGCTAGAATGTGGAGTCCATGTTCAATGGGGATGGAAGTGTTGGTTTGACTTCCATAGAGCCACAATTGCTTAGAGGATGGTAGCAGACACAGCTGTGCTGCAAAATAATGCCACAGAATGTCAGCAAAATGAAGAGGAAAGAGATGGGAAAAACTAACTAAATATGGAGTGAAAAATGTAAATTACTCAGACTATTGATCAGCACCTGTGGGTTCACTAGAGCACATTCAGGCAGTGGGATAGCTCCTTTAGTTCTCCATGTGCCATTCACTGCAGCCTGTGTGCAGGGGCGGGGCTGCATCCCAGCCGGGGCTCTGCTGTGGCGTAAGGGGTGGCTGTCTCAGCCAAGGACCAGGTGCCAGCTTACCCCAAATCATGATGAGCTGTCCAAGCCTTCACAAGCTTGATGGATTGGTGGGACCCTGAGGACCCACTGTCATCACCTCCTGGTAGAGCACATCTACTTCATCTCTCTGCTCAGCTCCCAAACCTGTCTGGTGGCCTTCAGCAGGAAAATTTTCATTTCTACAGTCTGGAAGGCTGGCTTTCTCTGGGCTACTTGATGGGACTAAGTTCCTTCTGGCACCATGATTATTCAAATAATTTTCTGTCCAGCTCACCCATGTTCTCACAGGAAGTTGGTAGCTTCCTCCACAGGAGGCCTGACATGGCTCTTAGCTGTTA